CTGCTGAATCTACTGCTTTATAACTATATAGACTATTTGGTGTAGAAAAAACTGTCTCAGAAGTGCTTCTGGTATGGAAGAATGGTGTGTTTGGGCAGATGTTCTTGTGCTAACATGTCATGCAATTATATATCAGCCTATAATCTGAAGCAGCTAATATTCTCACAGATACTCTGGGTGTTTTTTTAATGCACATATACAGCTGTTACTTGCAAGGCTGTATGTAAACATTACTTTCTCACTTCCTTGCAAATAAAAAATATCCTGGTTACTAATTGTGTGTTTCTTCTTTAGTTATAGAGTCAAAAACACTACAAGGAGAAAAGGGAGAGCACAGTTTCAATGTTCCTGGAACATTTGTCATTGAAAATACAACTGTTGAATTCCAGAAGAGTACAGACAGGGAAATCATCAAGATCCAGGGACCTCTTGGAGCAGATTTCATTATCAAGGTGGGATGTGTGTATGTACAAATACACAAAGATATTGCAAGTATGTGTAACAGTGTGGGTGGCTGTTCATCAGGTTGTAGCATACAACAAAACCTTTTAGCTATCAAATAAGGAATCCCAATTACAGTCCATAGATCATTTATACTAAATATATCCAAACAGATCAAAATGTTACAAGATTAATACCTTTCCTGTGGTGGAAAGTACCACAAGATCTTTAGTGGTAGAAACGGCCAGGACTTTTGCTTTAAATGTTCCTGAAAGACTATCAGCCTGACCCTGTGCAGTGGATTGAGTGAATCCAATTGCAGACTGCCACCTACTGAACCTGAGCACTGCTTCCAGCAGCTTCCTAGAGTCTCCCTTAGACATTGCTAATCCAGCCACTGACCATTTCTAATCCTTTTAAAATTCTTTTCTACCCAGACCACATACCAATGACTTGCATCACATGTGAGGGTATTTGTGTGTAGAAACATATTGATAATTGACTGCCAAAGGATAACAGTGGTAAAATTTGTCATTGGAAATGAAAAATGTTTTAGTATTATCACACCACTTGGCTTTATCTGTCCTGTTGTAGAAATAGAATTTCAGTATCACATGTGGAGTTAGACTTGCCTGACTATGAATCAGTGTGCTTGGATCACTTGGACTTCTCTCTGCAGCAAGTTTTAAAATTTTTGCTATCAAAAGGACAAAACAGAATGCAGTTTTGTATTCTTTGCCATTCAACAGTAGGTAATCAAATAGTCACATTAATACCTTGAATAATTTGAGAAACAAAGCCACATTCAAATGTTTGACTATTGAGAGGTTAAATATAGTGGTTACTTTGGACTTTCTAGAGGTTTTCTGCCTCATATCATCTTACTCTCTGCACTTCCATCATGTGTAAAGCATGTTTTGAAATGACATGAGCAGTTGAGTACAGTGTACATGTGTGGTAATGGAAATTTCTTCAGACCAGGTATTCTGGAACAAAAGAGAGTGTGGTTCAGTTCTTTTTCTATCAGCCCATCAGTCATCAGTGGAGACAAACAGAGTTCTTCCCCTGCACAGTGACATGTGGAGGAGGTAAGTAATGGCAATTCTTCAGGAGCCATAACAGCTGAAGATTTAAAGTAGCTGATTTACCTTTGTTTTGCATACTTATGAATTAAATGTTTGTGTTTCTTTGCACACTGGTGACTCTTTAGCAAAATGAAGGGCTGAGTAGCAGGTAGGTAGGTTGGTTCAGTTAATATTGGCATAGGGTTTTTTATACATAGATCGTTGGAAGTCATGTTCTTCCATAAAGAATGTTTATTTGAGTAAGAATGTTAACTAAGAAATAGATATAACATACAGAATGGAAAATTGCAATTCATAAAGGATGTTTTGGGAAAGTGAGCAAAAAACTACAATGATATTTTAATATAATAATCAAGAGATGAAGGAAGAAGGTATTTTTGGCCACAGTAGTAGCCATGAAGGAGAGTTTTAGAATGTTTAGTTGAGAAATAGTTACACAGAAAGCAGAATAAGTAAATAGAATTAAAAGAACAGCTGCTATCAGTATCTTTGCCTGTCTGATCTCAGGCATTTAGTCCTGATGGCAGTTAGGGCAGCACATGGTGCACTGTAGTGTCTACTCTGGTTTAAACACTGCAGTTTAGATGAAGTGTAGCTCAGCCTTGCTACAGCTCATCCAGCCCAGCCCACTGCTTGTCACGTCTGGTTCTGCAAATAAAGTGTGACCTCATGGTAGGAGGAGTGTTTGACATTGCAGATAGCTATTTCCCTTCAGCTAGCATTAACCAGGTCACCTGGAAAACAGACCGGGATGCTAGTGATACTGGTGTAGGGATTTTCTGGAGAGTGCAAATATGGTTTAAATAGTTACTTGGGACATGAATAAAGAGAGTGAGAGATGTTTAAAGCACAAGCAGAGTCTGGGGATCCTTTGATGGACCATCCGTTTTGGCACTTGCACCTCAGTGTAATCTGAAATGCAGACAATATATGTGGATAATACATAGTCCCACAGGAAACTACTGTATCTTACAAGATACTTGGCCTCATGAAGTGTGATACGTGCTGGAGCTGTGAGTGGCAATACATGTCCTCTGATGATTCCATCACACTGTGTTTATAATTTTTTTCCTTAGCCTATCTGACAAGGGAAGAAGTATAAAGCATCACAGTTACTTTTGAGGACTGCATGTAAACACTGGATATCTCAAGGGACATATTTACCTTCAAAGCTCTTGGCTCAAATCCAGCCTTATTCAGACTGGTGTTATGGTCTGAAAATTATTGCTATGTGTCTATCTGTTTGAAATTAGCCAGGGCTTTCAGGGCCTTACTTTGTAGCTGCATGCCTATAATATGAAGCTAGTACCTTTATCAGTGGGGCTGGGCAGTCCTCAGGGAGGACAGGAACTGGAGAAGCACAGAAACTAAGCTACTTGCTTACTCATTAAAGTAGTAGTGTTAAGAATGGCATATTACTAAGGCATGCAGGGAAGTTGTATTGCAGCTGCCTGGCTTTAACCTGTTATCTTAAAGTGGATTTAGTGTCCAGATTTTCTGTTTGGCATCTTTTCCTGGTAGTAAAAAAAAGTTCCTCACAACAGAGGCTTGGAATTAGCGCACTGCCATTCCTCACTCAGATGCTGCCTCTACTTTTAATTCCCTAATCTCCATGTGTGGGAAGAGGCATCTCAAAAAGCACAGTCAAGCTTGAATGAGCAAGTATATTTTAAAATTGTGTTTCTCTGTTTGAAGTGGCATATCTTCTGGGTCCTTTCAGTACTTACAAGAACAGGAACATAGATGCTTTGAGCACTGGAGCTGCTTAGTTCTTATGGTTATCACTCTCATGCATGATGACACTTTGGATCAGCCAAGAGACACATAACTGAAGCCATTGATACATGATACTTAGCATTTTCAGTAGACACTGGAAATTGTGCTAGTATATTGACTCTATTTGATTTTAATTCTTGTGGTTTCAAACTTTTTTTCTTTGCACATACCGCAACATCCTCCTCCTCTCCTCGGTTTAAGTCCAAGTAAACGTTTTTGAATGAGTCTTTTTTTCTTAGCCAAAAAAGCAACCTAGTGGTTTATAAAACTTCCATCCCTTCTTGTAGCCAGTCTCCACATAGATTTTATTATTTTTTTCACCAAGTAGTTACTTCAAGTTTTCTTTTGTTGGCTCTTCAACTAGGAATGTTCTTGAACACAGTTCTTGGTTTTCTAGTTTCTAAGCAATGTTTTTGGATCTCATCTTCAATTCCTCTGGCTTTCTGTTTTAAATATTTATTTTTTTAGCATGCATGACTGTGTAATATAGCTCTCCAATATACATAGTAACTCTTCCTTGGGGGAGGGCAGTTATAAGTTGTGGAACATGCACCAGAACCATATGGATTCATAGGTTTGCCTCTGTGACAGGTAAGCTGGTGAAGTACATCTATTTCTGGATTCATAGGTTTGCCTCTGTGACAGGTGAGCTGGTGAAGTACATCTATTTCTTCATCACATGAAAATATGTATGTCTTTACTCTTTTATATTATTAGAATAAAGTTCCAGAATCTCATCTAGTGTTAAGACAGGTTAATATAATTATTATACTGAATTGCCTTAAATGAAGATTTGGTTTTGCATATTCCTGCTCACTGTTTCCTTGTTTAAAAGCAAACCAAAAAATAGAGTAAACCAGAAAATTAATTCAATGGGCAACACATTATTGAGGGGAAGGGGAGAAATAAGGCTCTTTTAATTTATCTCCATTACAAAAATTTAACCTTGCTTCTGCATTAGGTTATCAGCTTAATTCAGCTGAATGTGTGGACATTCGCCTGAAGCGTGTTGTGCCTGACCACTATTGCCACTATCATCCAGAAAACAAGAAACCAAAGCCCAAGCTGAAAGAATGCAACATGGATCCTTGCCCTTCTAGGTCTGTATGCCAAATAAATTTGTGTGTGATATAGTCAGTTACTAAGGAACAAGCAATTGTATTTACTTCCAGTTCTTTTCGTCTTTAAGGCTACTTCATCTTGGTTGATTATTCCACCACCTTTAGATTTGTGGCACTTCTTCAGTGTTGCAGAATAGAAGACTTTGCTTGTACAGAGATATTGTAAATATCAGTTTATTCAAAGGCTGATTCTACTTTGTCTTCTGCTGAGTTGCACAGCAGTAGTGTGAGGATTTTGTGAGGTGGTGTGAACAGGACAGTTTGCCTACTTCTGGATTTACTGATGCTGCCATTCAGGATTTGTCAGCAGCCAGACAGGAGCACAAGTCAGTGTACAAGTTTTTGCACATGGTTTAACTTGGTTTATTCATCTGCCTGCCATAAACATTTGATTCTTCATTGGTACTGTGGAGTGAACACTTTAATAATGAAAGTTTGGGGCTATTTGTTTGTTTCTTTAAACTAGGAATTTAAAAAACAAATCATTCAGTGGAAATATCCTTGTGGTACGAATGCCACAGGATATTAGTGCCAAATTGTAAAGGCCATAGTACATATAAATTGTATTGAATTGCATTACAGTGTTTCAAACTAACTTTTGGATTGTCTGGTGAGGTTTCCTGGCTGTGCTAAAGAATCTTAAAATAACATCACAGTATCAAGTCCCAGAACCTCACATGAATATGCCAGCTGGCTGAGCTAGAGTTATGTGCAAGAAGAAAAGGAAACACTCTCAATGGATTTCATTTCCTATAGCTAAACTGTCCATTTCCTTTCATTCCTGTTGAACATAATCGTTGATAGTGACCTCTAAGAGTTATGGATGTGCAGACTTTCAAGATTTTTTTTTCCTGGAGAGTTGATCACTGTACAGAGCAGAAAGACTTCAGGAATGCTTACTGGCAATGGAT